AAAAAAAGAAGGAAAAGTGGATAGAAACGTAGGACTATTTTTCACCGATGAGAGAATCGGTCGATAAATCGGGCTGCGCACTCCCGGAACGTGGAAGAAATGTCTTCGAGCTGGAAACGGTAACGAAAGAGTTAAATTTCGTGGATATCGAGCCCGTGCCCCAGTCTTGTTCCCTACAGCGACAGCTGGATCGATATATGGCGACGTTGCCGAGCGTGAACCCTGGAGCGCTCTCGTACGCGCTTCGCTCCTTCCTTGGGAAAGTTTTGTCCGGCGCTCGACGCGCCAGCTCGCCGCCCGTCAAGCCAACCGCCCGGTCAATACTTGTCCAACGCCAATTATGCACAGCAGTTTCCAAGCCCTTTATATCCCAGAAACGTTTGCCGGTCGACCTTGTATTTATTTACGTATCGAAATATATCGCGGGCATCCTCCTCTTCTGCTTTCCCTCTCTCCCTCTTTTTCTCCTTTTCCCTTCCCCGTTCTCACTCTCCCCCCCTCCCTTTTCTCTTTCTCTCTTTCTCGTTACTCCGAGAGATCAGGATTCCGGTTTTTGCATGCACGCTGTTGGAGAAGCGCTCCAAGTCAAGTACCGGTACTCGAGATTGCGTGAATTTTCCACCCGGCGGGTTGATGAAACGAAAATAGACATACGGTGCCACGCGTGATTTTTTTCAGCGGCGGCGCGGTGATCTAGCGGAGCCGAGGGCTCTCTTCCATCTCCGCGTTTTATTGCGATTGTACAGCGTAATTTCGAATGGTCGATTTCGACAGCTGGTTGGAAACGAGCTTTCAACTGTTCGTGCGAGTTTCATCGTTCCCAGGTACGCAGATCCGACAAGGGCAATTTTTGGGAAATACGCAGTTTGGAAATATAAAATAGGGAAATACGCAGTTTGGAAACACAAAGTAGGGAAATACGCAGTTTGGAAACACACAAAGTAGGGAAATACGCAGTTTGGAAACACAAAGTTGGGAAATACGCAGTTTGGAAATACAAAGTAGGGAAATACGCAGTTTGGAAACACAAAGTAGGAAGTACGAAGTTTGGAAATACACAGTTTGGAAATACGCAGTAGGGAAGTACAAAGTTAGACCATTGGCGGCAACGTGTGCATTTTTTATTTATCGACACAGCTGGCGCGTCACTGCAAGCATTTTTACCCCTCGAGCTCGCAAGGGTAGATATGGTTGCGATATAATAAATAGCCGGAGAATACCTATGAATGCAACCGGTTAAACGCGTGTACGGACGACACTACGGTATACACGTTTCCGTATATACGATCCCAGTGTCTTATCTTAGGAAACATATATGGAAAAACATTTTCGAACGGTAGATTCGCGTTCTGCCGCAGGACTTGTGCTATGCGTAGGCGCATTATGCCGGTTCGTATTAGCAGTCGAGTTTGCCGGAGAAGCAGGAGAAGAAGCAGCAGCAGCACTAGCACCACCACTAGCACCAGCAGCAGCAGTAGGAGGGAGGATGTGTATGCGCAGAAACTATAGAGCTGGCGTCGTTCGATCCCATTACAGTTCAATTCAGCTAACTGTCGTAACGCTGTACGACGCGTCTTTGCAACAAACTTCTACAAAATTTCTATAATATAAAGGTCATCTTTTTTTGTCTTTTGACACCGCTTTCTATTTGAACACTACCTCGTGCTTCCAAGAATCCAACAATTTTTCTTTTAACTTTACGTAATATGAAAGTGAAAATTCCACGCTATCGAAGAATTTATAACTTCAAAAGTTTTTATTACTTTTTATTAATTTTAGTAGGAAAAGATGGCCATCAAGTATTATCAATTGTTGTTAAACAGTCGTGCCCCAAACAGTTGTATAAAGTTGGTCACTAATCTGGAAAGTTACGAGATGCAATTACGAGACAATCGTATCGTTTATTTGCACAAATGTGAATTTTGTAATTCGCGATAACTAACGAATCGGTAGTCGATACATATTTCTGCTGATATTCCCGGTCCCTGTGACATCGGTTGAGTCGCCCAACGCGTTATCCCAAAATTTGCACCGATACGCATTACAAATTTATACCTACGTATAATAAAGCGTAACGTGATAATTGCAGTTCATTACCGTATGCCGAGAAACGTTCGAGTTGAAACGAAAATAGCAAACGTATCTCTCTTTATCTACATTGGGCAGAGATATACCTACGTACATTTAAAGAAATGGAATTGCCTAATTAAAACGGATCAGTTTCGTTCGATCGAAAGGAATTACGAAAAAAATAACAAACGATCGGAGAATAAAAAAAAAAAAATATCAAAATTAACGACAGAATGCGTTTTATTACGTAGTAATAAATTGAACGATAATCCAATACACGTTTTTCGATCGATTTGAAGTGATCTTTGATTTTTAAAAACTCAAACGGATCGAATCATGATCTTTCAACTGAGAATAAATAAAAAGTATCAAAATTAATGAGAGCGCGGTATGTAATGCTAAACTCGCGTCTCGAATCGACTAAAACTTTTTTCTTCAAATAATTTTGCTAGACACGTTACGACGAGAATATTTGACAGATTTATAGATCCTGTTATTATTCTATATACGGTCGTGAATTGATCGTTCAAGACCGCTTCCCCTCCCCTCCCCTCCCTCGAAAAAGCTTGCTTTTCTAATTTCATTAGCCAGCGTTGACATCCTCTCCTCGTAGCAGGGAAATTTCATTTCGAACAAGTTGAAGTACATTTTGGGGATATTTAGACAAAGTACAGGGTGGCCACTGAAAAAACCGAAAGGTTTGAAAGAGTCATAACCTGTACGTTCCTTCGATCTTTTATTTATTTTCTTTCTTTGCAGGTTATGAAATTACAAGATCATAAAATTCGTTGATTACATTTCCAAATAAAATAAAAAATTAAGAGAGAAACATGTGTTTGTAAAAGTTATTTTTGTTTAATATTTTGGAGGTTATAAAATTATAAAATCATAAAATCCATTATTTTTCCAAATAAAATAATAAAAAATTAAAACAGAAACATGTGTTTGTAAAATGTTATTTTTGTTTAATATTATTCAGTCTTCGATGGGCCACCCTATACGATCGTGTTTCGAGGAATATTTGGGCCGAGAATGAGAAAACGACTCGTCAGTTCGATGGGCTGGTGCCGTTTTACGCCTGAGTTTTACCTTTTCAGAGACGTGACTCGTTAGTGGCGGCCGAGGACACGGTCGAGGCGAGAGGGGTTTCTCGATTACATAACGCGAATGATACCGAGCGAACGGTAAAGAAGAGGCAACCATTTCTTCCTCTTTTTCTTTTTCTTTCTCTTCTTCTCGAACGCTCGTTTGTCATTCGAGATGTTAGAGAGATGTTTGACCGAAAAAAAGGTTACTTTTCACCAGCTCTCGCTTCGTCTCGGTTCCTTTATTCGTTATTATTAATAAAATTTGTCTTCTCTTCTATAAATGTCCAGTGTTGTTTTTTTCATCCTCACTGGTTTAGGTTAGGTTTGGGTTAGATTTTTCAGCCATTAGAAAATCAAAATTTTTTCATCTTCACCGGTTTAGGTTAGATTTTTCAACCATTGGAAAATCAAATTTTTTCATCCTCACCGGTTTAGGTTAGGTTTAGGTTAGATTTTTCAGCCATTGGAAAATCAAAATTACAACAAACCGACAAACAAGATAGAGCGAGACGTAAATTTCTACATTTAGATGTCGAATTAGACACGAAAACGTCAGTTCCGATACTTCGATTATTGTTTCTAACTTAAGTCGTCATCAAGAATTCGTAATTTATAATTTATGAAAACCTTGTACGTGCAATTTTCCTCCACTTAATTCCGTTATTACAAGTAAAATTACGTACCAACGAGTAGCTAGTCGCTCGATAAACGAACGTTCGTTAATTGGTTAATTGGTAGTTGGTTTAATAAAAAAAGAAAAAATATAGAAACCAACGACAATCGTTCAACAGCGAATCATTCGTGGAAAGGGATCACCGATATCGGGCACGGAATCATTTTTTTGATACAAGATTGTCTCATTGTTGCGACGTAGCGTTTCTTCCCCCTCTTTTCTGACTTCTATCGCGCGAGATTATCTCTGATAACTCACCGTGTACATCGCTCGTCGTTACACTCCCTCTCTCTCTCTCTCTCTCTGTAAAGATCTATTTTTAGAAGGACTAATTTCGCAAAAATAATGCCAGAGATCTGAAAGAAGTGACACTCGGATTTCTGTCGGTCAAAACGATCCCTGATCTTTCATTTTCTTTCAGTCTTCCCCTCCCCCCCATTTTAACATCAAATTTGTACATAACACGCCAAGTTTAACCTTTAAACTCGACGCGTGCCTGCGAGTATACCCAACGTTCCGTTTTTACTTCCTCGTCAATATCATGTTGGAACTCGAATTTGAACTT